AGTGCAACCTTTACCAGTGAGACGTTCAGATCTCATTAGAGAAACGCGTAGATATTTTGGATGTATACTCAGTGCTATAAGGAAAGGTTGGAATGCTAATTTGAAACGGAGATTTCCTATCTATTTTTCAAAGCAGGATGAGTTATCTACTACTCCTGATGGTATTCTGTGTTTAAACGATCGTGTTGTCATTCCTCCTTCATTGCGTAAATCTGTTCTTGAAGATCTTCATAATGGTCATTCAGGTGTTGAGAAAATGAAGTCCTTGGCAAGGCTCACATGCTGGTGGCCAGAGATAAATCCAGATATATGTCGTACGGCAAACACTTGTGAGAAATGTCATCAGTTGAAAAATCATCCTTCGAAGTGGGTGCCATGGCCAGTATCGTCTGAGGCCTGGCAGAGGCTTCATGCTGACTATTGTGGACCATTTCTTGGCAAATACTACGCACTAGTAGTCATTGATTCTTTCTCAAAGTGGCCTGAAGTTTTTTTCACAACTTCACCAAATTCTGATTTCACAATACAAGCATTAAGAAAGGTGTTTAGTCGAGAAGGGGTTCCCATGGTGTTGGTGACTGATAATGGCTCACATTTTGCTGCAGATGCAGTCACTACCTGGTTGAACGGTATAGGGTGCAAACATCTATTTACTGCTCCCAGACATCCGTGTTCTAATGGTCAGGCAGAGAATTTTGTTAGGACATAAAAGACTGCTATTGATTCTATAGCCCCCTCAACATTTAATGAGCTGGAGAGGGGAGTAGATACCTTTCTATTGCAATATTGAAATGCCAAACATTCGGTGACGACGGGGACTCCAGCGAAGCTATTGAAAGGAAGAATTCTTCGGTCGAATATGAGATGTCTGGAGTCTGCAGAAGTTACATACTATCGAGGAAATGATCTTCGACCATCTACGGGGATTGTTCTGAAGAATGTCGGAAAATCGATGGTGCGAATTCTAGACATCGATGACTTAAGTACACACAGTCGACATGTAGATCAAATACAATTTCAGGAACCAGGTGAGTCAGTTCCAATTTCGATTGTTAATTCTAATGCTAATGAGCACATTCTAGATAATACAGAATCCTTATCCAATACAATGTCAGACAGACTCAGGATGAATTTGAAAAGAAGACGTACGATTGATTAGAAACACCTAGACTCCAATTTAAGCTGTGGCGGATGTGGTGTTTGAATGAACCAATGATACCTTTGTACTGGTTGAATGTTTGATTTCGAATTCTAAATACAGTACATTCGTTGTGCCTGTTTCTTCTTAATTCAATTGCGTTGATCCTGGAATTCCTAATTCATACGACAATTAGAATACTATAGTTCCTCAAAGCGTTTTGCCCATCTGTCTCTTTGTTGTTGAATATCCCCGACAGTTTTTAAGTTGTATCATATATTTGTTTCATTTTATTTGCAAATTTCTTTAGTAAGTATCATTTTTCTCATGTTTTTACGGACGCAAGTTTGAGGCATCGCCCTGGTTGTATAATGACAAATCCAGCTACCTTTAATAGGTATTTGTAGCCGTTTTAGTCTGAAACTAGAGTTCGTCTCTGCTAGTGGGTTTCACAATTCTCGATCTTTCTTCTAGTTGTATCCCAAACCACGAAAGTTACTGTCGGTTGTTGTATTATATTCATTTCTGGAAGAAATAACGCATTTGCCACTTGATTTTCGACTTATGCTTAGGTTACTTTTTGAAGGTTGAGGGTTGGATTTGGTTGGGTTTAGAAATTCCGCTAGTATATTCTGGAACTTAGCATTTGTTACTGGCGGAGTAATTTGGCTTGTCGTTGTATTGATTCCTAACCACTCGAAGCCGAACATACAATTAATTAGAAGATTGACATTAAAAATGTAACTCTTGGAAAAGATAGAGAATGTTGAATGCGGGAACATTTGTTCGGTATAGCATGGATTGACATGGCGAGCATGAGCATTCTATGAAACTTATCCTCATTCCAGTTAACTATTTTATTCTACCTCCGGTCCAACTGTATCTTTCAGAAGTGCTAAACATGTATCACCGGTTGCCGCGATAGGACGAGTCGAGCTTTTTGTGCTAGGCTGTCAAATCAAAGACAAATTCGGCATCAGGATTATTTTACAAACAACAAAGACAAGTGTGTTAATACCAAACTAGATCATAATTCTACAAACGTTCGTTGCCTTCAGTGTAATTCAAGTTTTCTCTGAGTGTTAAACTTTCTTTATTCGTGTCGAGCGGAACTTCATATCTCTTAGTATTGACGGATCCACTACGGTGAACACCAGGGGAGTCACTTCTTAAATCCCAAGTACTGAACAAAGGTTTTTGCCCACATGTCGTGATTTTAACAACAGACGTTCAATTTTTGGGTTTATGGAGCAAAATTTCAGAGACACCAAACCTAAAACAGTTTAAAACCGAAAATGCCCGAAGTCAAAGCTACAAATAAACAAATTGAAAAGTTTATAAAACAAATATATTCGAAACGCAGTCAAACTGATGGTATTGAATTTGTAGGTGATTAATAAGCTAAATATTTTTAGTTCCTTCTGTAACAACTATTCACAATGATTTATGCACAATCAGATCGTAAGATTTATAGGAGCACTCAAATTTGCGTGGATTCACTCCCAACTGTCAGTTTCACGTCTCGACGCCATCTCCGTAAAGCGCACATTCATATGCGAGAATTATTATACCACATACTTTTATGATCTATGGGCATTATAAAATATCAAACAAACTGAGTAATCCACCACAGTGAAGACTGTATCTTCACTAACACTTTGATCATGCCTGTAAACTAACATATCGTATGTGACAGACTGTCATTTGAGAGCAAATTATTATCATCCAACTGAGTAGACTAGTCTAGTTGTTTTTTGCAGTAATCTTTCGTGAAAGTGTAGTGTGACGAATTGGTCATCCTAGTGGTATAAATTACTACGCAATGGATGCAATGCTCTTGTTCAGGGTTACTGTATATTAGGGTCTTTATGTTATTGTAGGTAGTGATCTCAGAACCATAGGCGACTGGGTAGCGGCCGCTTCTAGTTGTTTTCCGATTTTGCTGAGGAATCTTACGAGATTTAGGAAACCCTTATGTAGACATGTTCAGGTTATGCAAGATTACAGTGAGGACACAGGAATTGAATACCAAGTATCAGTTTGAAGCACAAAGTGTATATTCTGGAATGAGGTCAACTATCTTACGAAGACAGTTTGTCTGTCCTATCCTAGAACAATGTTAATTGTTGTATACTGGATCGTGATTTATTAATAGTATCTCATTTGTCTATGCAATCTATTACTAAGAATTTGAGAGTAGTTTCTTATAGTATTGAATGGTGAAGGCCTAAATGTCTACGTTCGACGTCTGATTCTTATATTATACGCTCGTGGATAAGTCAAACTTATTGCACACAGTTACAAATCTGGAACCGCTATCTAACATCCAGTCTGAATAGATAAAAAATATGGTTTTTCTCTGTGACAAGGGATATAGGTTGTTTATCTAGTTTTTAGCATCGACATTTCTAAAGACTCAACATACTGACCATAAGGTTCTACAACCTTTGGCCGCCGACGCACGGCACTGTGCAGTAATTTTTAAGTCTTGGCTAACGATAACGCTTAAATCATTGTATGTATGGACAACAGACAGGTCACTGTTATTCAATGTATATGAATATGTATATGGGTGACCATTGTGCATCATAATGCACTTGGAAGTATTTATCGGCAAATGCCAAATTTTAGACCATTCAGAAATTTTCTCCAGCACATTTTGCAGTTCGAAACTATTAACTGAACTATATGTCGATGTCGACAGCAAATAAAGGAAAAGCCGCTGTCAACATGTTCGAAGGAACGATTAATATTTTCAGCTCTAGAAATCGTTGGGATTAACTGTAGGTCACTTGACCTTCTGTTCTTAAAATAGACGGTTGAGTATTGGCGGCTTTTGTGCTCTCTAGGTCACTTGTCGAGCCTAGGAAAGGGATTTCCCATTTAAATTATCTTAACACTGGGAAATACTTGTTTCTAAATTGCTGGTAACATTTCCTATCGCTACAGTAACTATTAAGCTTGAAAGTCACAAGTAAACTAACTTTATAAATCGAAGTTATCTGTGGCAAAATAATTATTCTTCATCTCAATAAACTTCGCCTTTTGTTATTGTTGTTAGTCAGTAATTAGGGGTTACTAGTTGTTTGTAAGGACAATTATCTATATTTTTTGTAAGGGAATATACATCTGGTTGAACAACCACATGTATATTTTTTAATATACTTAAAAATGTATATTTGGTAGATGATTATGTACGTTATATACTGTGTGAACTAGCTAAGCCGTTTTCTTGGCTTAGCATCGGTAGATAGCGCGGGTTTTGTAAAATTAAGACCAATATATTTGTGATCTACGTCATAAAATTCAAATGCCGAAAAATTCCCCCCAAACTTTGGAGATTTCCCAAAATAGGGAGACTGGGCTAATTTTGAGTAATAAGGACACCAACTTCAGATAATACGTAAAACAAAGTAGTTAGCGGGGCGAGACCAATTTATGGGTGGACTGACCAGATACAACGTACCCATTCCTGGATCATTTTGTTCGAAATCTATTTATACATTTGTCTAAAGAGCTTTTTGGCATTATAGCTAGTGCTAGTTAGTGATGGCATTCCCAAGGTAACTTTAGTTTCGCCCAAGGGTCGCCCATCAATTATGGTCTCACCAACTTCGTTCATATTTTTATCCATACAAATGTATTACCAAGTAAAACAGGTGTGAATCCACAAAAACGATGAAATTTAATGTTTCGAAACGTACGGACACACTTTAGTGATTATAAAAAATAAAATCCACCTAAAATACGTATATCTGACTTTCTGCAAATACAAGTTATCAACATTTTTCTATCACTTCACAATAATGTTCGTTTTCTTTATCTTAAATTCTGAGTGAAGGAAACTGCTGGTTAGATAAAAATGGCCCGTCAGTCGCGTGGATTGGAATCTAAAAGAGTGGTATGATTTTTAAGTAAAACTTGATGTATCTAAAAAATCGATAGACAGCTGAATTGTTCACTTTGACATATGGTGCTCTTGTTGCTAATATTGTTAGAGATTTCGATACAGATGCAGAAATTAATGAACAGTTGGACAAAATGTAAGCCGCCTAATTCATCTTATTAGATGTAATTGTCCTCAATTAGCGGATTTAATATTGGTCTAAAGTTGGTTGAAGACTACTTAGCGCGTGGGAATCCTGGTCGTTGTAACGATTTCAAAGAAACTGCTGAAGCAGTCGTAAAAGTAAGCAAATAACAAGACAGTTCTCGCTTGTTTATGCGTTTGTTCTCACTTCATCTTGTGAGTATCTTAGACCAACAAGTTGATAAAGGCTTTGACTGCTTTCAGGACGTGAGAATTGACCCTATGTTGCAGAAAAAAGCAGTTTTATACTTTATTGATGGATGATATCTTCTAAGATTGTTAGCATTGGCGAATAAAATTCTGACCGACAGATGATGATCGACTATCGTAACACCTAGTCAACCATTAGTTACTCACGAGACTGAATTACCGGCACTAACTGTTGTAACGGGTGTGGGACTACAGGTTTTGATAAGCAGCGTTCTATCGATCGATTACAGTGGTATATAAACAAAGTATGTTTGAAATATAATGATTCATAACTCAGAGGCTGTGACTTGCGTTCTAGACCCAACTGGCTGGGCTAGACAGGGAAGCGAGACCAATCGGGACTCTAGGTCGTCTTTACATGTTTACGTGTCCACTGTAATCGATCGATAGGACGCTGCTTATCAAAACCTGCAGTCCCACACCCGTTACAACACTAACCATTGGATGAACTGATACATCAAAGCCAACTAGGCAGCAGAACAAGCTTTGTATTAAAAAAGAATTACGATGTCACTTGAAACATCAAATGAGTTAGTGAATATAACTTTGTAGATCGCTTAATTTCTGATAAATTTGTAGACCGGGTTTAAATTTGGGTTGCAAGACTTATCAAAAGATATGAGTCGCTGCATAATTCGAGAATTAGAGAGTGGACGAAATATATTAGATAATAGCTCAAATTTTCTGCAATCAAGCTTCAGTTTCTTACGGTGTAAATTACACCTAGTTGGGATGTTGGCATTAAATCATCGATCAATAAAGCGTTCTGTTAAGCAGACTATAATTTTTTACGAGATAAAACAGATAGTGAGCAAATATTGGATTTCAACTTAATAAGTCATATGCATAAGTTGGAGGGTTGATAGTTTTCGTTAAAAAAACAGGAAAACCAAGGAGTCTGTAGATATATCGTTTATATTGTTTAATATTCAAACCTACACTAGTATACAAAATAGAATCTGCGCTATATATTCCGCTACTAAGACTGCTGTTATCTGTGACTTAAACTTACTGGTTGCATTTTTTCAATTTATCTTTCCTGTTTTAGGGCTTCAAAATCTTTTTAGGCATAACTCCAACTATTTGTAAATTCAGTTCAGCTGGTGATGAATTCAGTCTTGTATTGGAGAATAATCCATTGACAGAATTTGTTGATCTTCCTGCTGAACATCAAAACCTACTTTATTCCAACGTATTGGCTGGTGCGATACGTGGTGCTTTGCATAATGTAAGATATATACATGTGTTTATATATATATATATATATATATATATATATATATATATATATATATATATATATATATATATATATATATAAGAATACGTTAAAAGAAAGATAGGGACTGCCAAACCATGACTTAAAATCGGTCCATGAGCAATATACTTAGATATGGACTTGTTGGTTGGGGTCAGAGCAATCATTATAACCAGTGATTGAAGACGTTGAGTGATATAGCTCGAAATTAGCTGTCATGGCGCAGATACTTTTACTCTTTATCTTCGCATTTATCTTGTTAATTACATCTCATTATGCTTATACAGTATGATGACTGGGATCGATACACATCTGTACCGGGTTCCACGTTGCTTTCGATTGAATGACTAGTGAACTCTATTTCATGTGGGTCATTAATTTTCAGTGTAAGTGTAACACATTCCTTATTAGGCTTGAGTGTCCTGAGTTTGATTCCGTTTAGGTGGCTCGGGTTCATATTAATGAGTAAATTTCTGAACTTTAAACAAAATACTTGTTCATAAATCTGTAATTTATAACGTAAGTATTTTTGGTCACCTATTTTTCTTCCTATGAATCTCGACAATTCAGCATGCACTGAAGTAATATACAGTGTGATACTCATCATTTAGATCCCTTACTCATTAGATGTTAGCAGATAGATGTAGTCGAGAAGTCCGTGTATCTGGGTAGCTGCATAAGTGCTGGTGGGGGTGTGAGTGATGAGATCAATGCACGTATAGTGAAAGCCAGAGCGGCTTATGCCAATCTGGGCCATCTATGGCGCCTTCGTGATGTTAGTCTGGCCGTAAAAGGTCGGATCTACAACGCATCGGTGAGAGCAGTTCTGCTCTATGCTTGTGAAACCTGGTCTCTCCGAGTTGAGGACGTTAGACGACTCTCTGTGTTCGATCATCGCTGTCTCCGAAGGATTGCTGACATTCAGTGGCAACACCATGTCAGTAATGCAGAGGTTCGGCATCGTATGTTCGGGCACAGAGATGATAATTCAATTGGTGTCACCATCTTGAAACACCGACTTCGGTGGCTTGGACATGTTCTCCGAATGTCGTCCCAGAGAATTCCACGTCGTGCATTATTTGCCGACTCTGGGACTGTTTGGAAAAAGCAGAGGTGGTCAGTGCATGACATGGTGTCGTGGCATGAAAGAAAGCTGCAAAGGACTGGCGTGTGTTGGTCCTTCACGACTCCCTGGTTGGGGTCTGAGGGATGGTGCTACACAGTGGCTAGAGACGTTATCAGATATGGCTCAGAATAGAAGCCAGTGGCGATCCTGCTGTAACCTTCTTTTACTTTCTTCATAAAAAGTGGTTCTGTCTCCCTTACCTGAAAGATTTCTTCCGATTGTACCTTTGCGTTCCATGATTACTAGCACATTACTTTACACCAATCTCTTCGTTATTGTTCTCTTTTTTTGTTGCGCTCCTTAGCTTTTTTTTTCTTTCTTTGTATTCTTCTCGAATTTTCATTGTTTTGTGTGGCGCATATATATTGGCGCTCTCTTGTACCGATATTCATGTGTTTAAATAAATAAATAAATAAGATGTTAGCATTAGTGACTGACACACATGGTGTTTTTGCAATAAGTTTCTTTTCCACTAACGTAGTTACTATATATGCAGATAAATTATTAACGAAAACCAAGTCGAAGCAATACAAATATTTATCTTATCAATATAGTTGATCGTAATACTAGATCAGAAGAGTTACATGCCTTTAGTTTCAGTCGGAAACCATGACGGAATATTATAAAAACAGTGAGTAGTGTTTGTGTTTATGTATACATGATTTCATCATTAGTGTATCGGAAAGAATTTAACTTCTTAAGTTTGGTTATCCTAATCACACACAAGTTATGTAAATTTAGTTGGACAGATCAATACTATTAAGTTGGCTGGGCAGTTCTCTTCGATGCTTATCGTTTATAATATTTACAGTAACTCAGCTCAAGAGGTTATTTATTATTTATTTATTTGAACACATAAATATTGGTACAAGAGGGCACCAAATATATATGCGCCACACAAAACAATGAGAATTCAAAGAGAAGGAAAAAAAGGTAAGGAGCGTAAAAAAAGAACGATAACGAACAGATTAGTGTAAGGTAGTGTAATAATAGCGATAGCAGGGGAAACAGAAACGTACAATCAGAAGAGATCTTTCAGTTAAGGAAGAAGCAATCACTTTTTATGAAGAAAGTAAAAGAAAGGTTACAACAGGATCGCTTCTGGCTTCTATTCTGAGCCATATCTGATAACGTCTCTACTCGAGAACGTTTAGATAGAGCCGAGTTTCCACCATAGGCGAGCTGCTGTATAAGTCGAAAAATAAGGATAGACAGAGTGAGAATAAAAGAGAGTGAATAAATGACGTAGTAAATAATAATAATTATAATAATGATAATAATAGCATTAATAATAATAATGTGAATCGGTTGATTGTTAATTGGAGCAAGAAAAGTATTTCCCATAATTATCGACAGTTCATCATATTTGTGTGTGGGCTGTGATACTGCCCGGGTGCCCAGACCGAAGCAGGTCAGCTCAACCACTTGGTCTCAGGTTCGAGTCCCCTCATCCTTAACGGTTTGGGAAACCAATTAGTAACCCTAACTCTCACACATAAAGTGTGACTCAAAGCTAAATATACGAACACGTACTGAATGATGCTACGTTCAATATTATGATGGATGTATTTTTTTTCCGTAAAATTGGGATATTGTTAATTAACGTGCAACAAAAAACTTTGTTAACTGCATGCTGCAATTAAGAATTAAGTACAGTACACTCCAGTGTTTTTTATTGTTTAACTTTACTGATATTCTCTAAATTCAGCACTTCGTTTCTCATTATAAACACCTGATAACATTATCATACAAAATGCGAGGTCTCATGTAATATTACTGTGTGGTTAACTTTGTTACTTTAACAATTTGACATTAAAAATTTTAAAGCCCAGTAGATTAAACTGGTTTTACGATTGTAACACTACATTTAATGATATATTGAATCCTTAATTTATTAAATACTAACGTACGAAAAGTTTGCTTCCCTTATTCACCCATTTAAATAAATAAGTACACTCAATTTCCATCCACATCCTCTAACCACCTAAAATCAAAAACATAGGGTTTGCGATGTTGAGTTATCTTAGATTATTGACCATACTGCAACATGAAAAATGCAATTTCTCTATCACTGTGGTCCAGTAAAACATGGTATTGATTACTACTCAATAATTGATCACCATACATATCTCATTCCTACAGTAAGTTAACTGAGGCCCAATTCATTTCGTGATAATATTTTCGATACTGAACAGTAGTAGGTTCAAATGCCTCAGGGAGCAGTTCACCTAAGGATAAGTATACGCTTTTCTGACGAATATCAATTAGCACAAAACCTGGACCTTGAAAGCTTTTAATTTATTTTCATAGTTTATTTTTGTAATTTAATTTTTATATTTTATGCACAATCTTATTTAAGGTACAACTTGAAGTTGAGGCTCGATTTGTTCAAGATCAATTACGTGGTGATCAAATCAATGAGATACGCGTAAAATTTATTCGTCGTATAGAAGAAATTATTCAAGGAGATGATTAATTCACCATGTTTATTTTAATATTTCCAGTTCAATTTTATAAATATATTCACTGAATGTATTTTTACGTTACATAACTTTTTCTATGAATTTATTCTTTGATAATAATAACAATAATGATAAAAAATGCATTTTCTGTACTAAAACTTAGGAAAAATCTAATGGCTGTGCACAAATAAATACCATTCCTATTTTCCAAAGTGTTTTTATTTACATTTTTCAAACTACTGAAATATATATTAGTAAGTGAATATTTTGATTATTTTAACATTTTCTAGCTATGGCCTTAAATCCACAATATTCACATACTACTACACCAATTATAGAAGCTTGGTTAATTAAAGCTCTTCGTCTTGTACATTCAAAAAATTCTAGTGATCGTGATAAACTGCGTAAATTTTATAAAGAAGCTTGTGAAAATGAAGCACAAGTTGTACATATGACTATTGCTGAAGCTCTACGTGAACCTCGGGAGTGTATTACTACAAATTATGAATCAAATGATGTAAGTTGCTTACAACTTTTGATTATATTTAAATACTAATTGTTCTGTGCTAATTATTCGTCCATATATTCATAATATGTCGATTTCACTTGCGCTACAGTGATATGAAAATCAAGGTTATTATCTCAAAGAGAGATAGAGCTCTCTTCAAGATAATATACGAAACTAAATGTATCAAAGTTATTACTTCAGTGAATTATCCTTGTTCCATCGATGTCTACTAATATTTTGGGAAATCTTCCATTTTTTTTAGCGATTTTCTTTAGAAAACCACCTGTTTATGTAATTTATTATATCTTCAACTTCCCCTCATATTTATATATCCTAATCTAGCGAGATACATGCACTTCTACTCATTCTACGCAACGAACTCGTGTAGCACAATCCGTGAATTATCCAAGCCAATCTACGTCTTCGTCCATTTGTACAACAACCACTAATAACATAGTTACGAATGAATCTATGAGTTCAATGAATACGAATAGTAGTGGAACTTCAATGTTTACTACTACATCCACCTCTAATCCTGATCAAATTATAAGTTCCACTACTACTGCTACCACTAATAATAATATTACTTCTGGTATACCTGCTTCACCAGTGATTGGAACTACCACGCATTCTTCAAATTCAACTACAAATCGTGCAAATAAACGTAATAAAGTGGCATTTTTCAATATTTTTGACGTTGCTTCATCGACACCCAACAACAGTTCCATATCGAATACTCCGATAGTGTCAAAAAATAATACGGCACAACGATCTTTAAACCAGTTAGATAATACATTATCAATCGAGTCAGTTGGTATGTTGTAATCTTGAAGTGTACTTCGTCTTTTTTTCTTTTAATTTTTCATTATCGAATTAATGTTTATTGATTTCAATGGTAGTCTTTGTTGTTGATATGGTGACGAATATTTGTAGCGTAAAATGAGGATTTCGAAGGTGCTTTGCTATTTTTTTGAGCTTCATGGCCTAGTTATCAAGTTTTTGTTGTCTTTCTTGATAACATATATTAGTAAATGTTTCAAAAATTCTCTATCATAAAAATTCTAATTCACTGTTAGGAATTTGTCGTATTCAGTGCGAAACTTAAAATTTTTTTACTCGATTTTGTATTGAATCTCTCGCTTCTCTTTGAAGTCCTGTATCGGAATGATATAACCGTTCTAGATTAGCGTCGTTTATGTTTGATTGTATAGTATAGTTTTATTGTTTCTTGGAATCCGTCAAAAACACTAAGGGGGGTAAGAATTGTTTTTTTAGTATTGTTACAGCTCTCTTCAGGATATAAGAGATAGTGTACATTACTTAAAAATTGGTAGCCACTTATTTTTTTAGAAACTAATTCCTATCTTATCTAGTCTTACACTATGAACGGTGAAGTATTTTTGGTAACGATCGTCAATAGAAGAGGGACTTATTTCTATATTTAATTACCAAGTATGATTTTATTGGTTTCGTTACATGGAGGAACGATGGTCTCTTTATCTTTCCTTTTAGACAATGTCATCGCAGTGGTATACAAAAGTAACATTTAAATATATCTCTGAAAGCAGTAAACTAGTCAATTCTCTTGAACTTCAGTGAGTGATGATAAAGTGTAGATAAAGCACTCTAGTTAAATCACTAGTCTAAACGTCGTTTCACCTACTTTCTTTTGGTCAGCTGGATAGTATCATCAGATTTCATATGCACAGAAAAAGGTATAACTCTAAGTTGAATAGAGAAATCTTTATTTAATAAATTAATTAAATGAGTTTAACTTACAATAAGATTACACAATTGTTTTATCAGACCTTTCAGATTGAAGGGTTAAATTATCAGTTATGGTGGGTTTTAGGCTAAAAATCCGTTTCACTTATCTCCATGTCGGCAATAACCAGGTACTAAAAGTAGTCCTCTCTTTAGATGTAACGTGGTTAAAGGTAGTTGGCAGGAAATTCTGTACCTAGGTTCCGTGCTAACTGGGACTCGTCAATAGGGCATACTTGCAATCTTGGGGGAACTGATGCTCTCGGATAGGTTCGAGCTCGTGTCGCCCAGTTTTACAATGTGAGATATTACTAGTAAACTATTTGTACGGCGAATGGCCCGTTGTTTGACTGAGATATGTACAACTGATTAACCAAAGAGTAGTGAGCGGCCAATGTCATGTTTATCTATTCCTCGAGCACTGTTTGTATTCTATTGAATACATCGCATGGACTACTAGCAGTAAAAAAAGGACTAGGCAAACATAAAATTGGTCACTCACTACTCAGTAATCATTCAGTTGTAAACAACGTGTTCTCGTACAAAAAATATGATTTAAACCCTACTATAAAAACTTGTATCTAGTTATTCAATCACATCAATTTAATGTAAAAAAGTACGTACTTGTGTGTTTTCATAACACATGTATGTATTTAACTGTTTCTAGATTTTAGTAATACAACAATTCAACTATGTACTATTTCTTCAATAAATGATGATAATCAAGAAATAACAACGGATTCAGTGATAGGCAACACTGGAACAACTAATAACATTTCAATGCATTCTAATTTATCTAATCCTATTATAGATCTTACATTTACAGATAATGAAACCGCGTCGATTTCGTCTTCCTTGGCTATCAATACCACCACGTCTGCTAATACTGTTGCTGTTACTCTGCCTTTAAGTGAAGATAAACAAATGGCCACTGGGAAAGTGATGAATCCTCCTACTGTGAACACTACTACTACTAGTACCATTATTACTACTCCAACTACTTATATTCCTACAGTGTCATCAGTATCACTGCAGCCACCATCACTTTGTTCTCCTGTTGTTACAGTTATTGGTGCGTTGACAAAATCAACTCAAGATAATTCTAGTTTTAATACTAATACTACTACTAATAATAATACTAATACTAATAATAATAATGCACGTTTATTGGCTGCAAGTCTAGTCGCAGATCTTGTATGTCGTCTATGTGGTCGTCTGTCACAACAACCACAATTAGAACCGGACAATAAAACACTGAATGCAAATGTACTAGTGGAGTGCATCAAATGTGGTTCATTATATCATCAATTATGTCATCAACCATTAATATTAATGTCAACACCCAAACAACATTGGTTATGTATAAATTGTTCGATCACTACCACTACTAATACAACTATTTTCAATCCTTCATTTGTATCATCAATATCTTCGTTAACATCATCAATATCTTGCACAGCTACATCGTCTTCGAATTCTTCGCTTACTACTTTAGCAATATCAGCTAATTCAACATGTGTTAATAGCATGTCAGTCGATCCTATGATACCGTGTAGTGTAATACAATCTGATGGGGATATTTTATCGAAAGATGTAACAATGATTACAGATAATAATAATAGTAATAATAATAACAATAATAATAATAATGAGTATTCGTTCTCATCATCAACACATCATTCATCTGTAGTTTTATCTAATCCAGTTCACTTTCAGTCTCGAGAAACAACTTCAACTGTTATAACACCACAAACATCATCATTACCAGTGTGTACTTCTACTTCTGCTACTACTAATATTTCTATTACTACCGTTAGTTCAACTACATCTGCAAGTACGGTCAATGTTGGTGCACGTAAACGTAAACCGGCATTCACAAGTTCATTATCTGGTCTACCTCGTAAATTAAAAGATGATTACAATTGATTTACTATCCTTCTTTTTTTTATTCTTTAGAATTTAAATTTGGAGAAATGAATATTAAGTTTAAATTTTGCAAAATAATGTACAATTACTTTCTTTTCTTTTTAATGTTATGAAATACACTAAGACAATTGCTTAATATTCTGCGTTTATTTTTCTTCATTGTCGGTGCTAAAGATTGCAATTGATCAGTTACTTTTTGGCATATATGTATCCTGAGCAGATCATCTTCATATTGCCATCAATTACAAATATGTTTGAGCAGAAATAGGAGTGGCTGGAAAAGAAGATTCAATCCTTTACAACTGGACTATGGTCGATTCTTGCTGCACAACCCAGTGGCTATTTAAACTCAATATCTAAGTGGACAATTCGTTGACATTCAGAGCGAAAGGCACTAGCTTCGAGTTCTGAAATAAACATCAACACCAAGACCCAATTACATCCAGTTATAAATGAAATGCGCGTCTTGAATGTCACTACAAGTCACATTGGATCTCTTCTTGAAAAAGATTTCTTTAAATTGTTCATAATACTTGTTAGATACAGATATAACGTTTGTCTTATGAGTTCAGCTTTTAGACTGGGTTTAGTGTTGAGGTCATTGACATTAGTTGAACTGTCACAACTGTGTCCGTGTCGTCCCATGATATCTTCATATCCGATGTTTTTCATTCCGGCTTTTGCGTTTAGGTCTCCCATTAAGATAGTAGGGTCCTTTCTTGGACACTTCTCTACAAGCGACTGCAGCCCCTCATAAAACTGGTCTTTATCGTCATCATTGATAACATTGGTGGGTGTATAACACTGGATAGCATT